TGTTAGGAAATGAAGAATATGCAAGGCAGCTCTGGAGGTGACGTGACTGTAGAAATGAACGCTGCCCCAGGAACTGACCTCACCAAATTACTGAATGACATGAGGGCACAGTACGAGGAGCTGGCTGAGCAAAACCGCAGGGAGGCCGAGGAGCAATTCAATAAGCAGGTAGCTTATCACTGCTGAGTGTCTGAGTCTGCAACCCCGCACGACCCACTTCTACCTGCCTCATCAGCCTACAATGACTGCAACTTATTTGTCTTTACAGAGTGCATCACTACAAGCCCAGATCTCCACTGATGCTGGGGCAGCCAGTTCTGCCAAGAGTGAGATGACAGAACTGAAACGGACGCTGCAAGCCCTGGAAATTGAGCTGCAGTCCCAACTGGCCATGGTACGTACACATAGCTTTTCAAAATCTCCAACAGGAAATTAAACAAATTAGTTTGTTCTTTCTTTGCCAACATGTTCCACTGGGCACATGATAAAAGCAGTGTTAAGGGGAGTATTGTGCTCGTGCTGTTATTGTTGTTAGGTGCATCGAGTTGGCTCTGACTCATGGCGACCCTTTGTACAATGGAATGAAACACTGCCCAGTCCTGTGCCAGCCTGACAGTCCCTGCTATACCTGAGCCCATCATTGCAGCCACTGTGTCAGTCCATCTCATTGAGGACCTTTCCCTTTTTTGTTGACCCTCTACTTTACCAAGAATGATATCTTTCTCCAGGGAATGGTCCCTTCTACACTATAACCAAAGCATAAAACATTCCAGTGAAAGATATGTGCTGTATGTAATATATAAAAGATTTGGTGGGAAAAAAGGAATGACAATAAAATGTAATGAAGCAATAATATGACAAGATAGGGTGTGACTCACAAAGAAGTCAGAAAAGACTTCTCCTAGCACTGTATAAAATTATATTTTTACAAAGTCACCCAATGACTTATATTCATCATGATTTTTTTTTTCTTTCACTCTTTTAGAAAAGCTCCCTGGAAGGGACACTGGCTGACACGGAAGCAGACTACAGGGCTCGGCTGTCAGAAATACAGATGCAGGTAAGCAGCCTGGAGGAGCAGATCTGCCAGATCCGGGGCGAGACCGAGTGCCAGAACGCCGAATATGAGCAGCTGCTCGACATCAAGACCCGCCTGGAGACGGAGATCGAGACCTACCGCCGCCTGCTCGACGGAGAGGCAGGGTAAAGGAAACTCTGAGCAGCTGCAGTGCATACCTGGGTGGATCGATTGGGTGAAAACATAAAGCAGATCCGAGGTTGGACTTGCATTGACCAAGTAACAATGACACAGTCCAATCCAAAGACATTCAAAGCTTCATCATGAACAACCAGGTGGTTTTCTCCTGCTTTTGCAAACAGTAAAGAAAAATATAATTAATTCTGTTTTATCTCCAGTGGTTCTTCTTCGGGAGGATCTGATTTTAGAAACTCAGGCTCCGGAAACACAGGGCCCCGAAACGTGGGATCCAGGGGTTCTGCGTCTGTTGACTCAAGATGTGACAGCAGTTCTGGTCAAGGAAGAGGTAGGTATTTTTAATGAGGATAATAATTTTATAATTTAAAAGTAGAGTAAAGGAATGATTTGCTTGTCATAGTAAGAGTATATACAATAGTCTTACATAATCTTTCCTAGAGGAAACATAATTTATGGATGCACTTAAAGTTTTCTGGATCTGTGTTTCTATGATAATTTCCCAACTGACACTGTGATTATATGGCTTTCAGAGTCAAACAAGACTAGAGTGACTAAGACTATCATAGAAGAAGTGGTGGATGGCAAGATTGTCTCATCTCAAGTCAGCAATATTTCTGAAGTGAAAGTTAAATAAGTGGTTTCTAGATCACCAAGAGTGTCTTTCAAAGAGCTCAAGAAATCCTCAGATGAAGACACTGCATCAATGGAGTCATCTTTCTGGATAGCTTCAAGGAGAAATTTCAGTCCGGAAATGGATGACTAGCCACTTTTCCTGCATCTTCTTCCTCTCTTATTAGAAATTTCTTGAAAAAGTCAAAATGACAATATTGCTCCTATTGTTTCTATGCTTCAATAAACTTACTTTTGCAAGTTAACTAAGTTATTCCTGAATTTCTTAAGAGATTCCATAGTTTGCCTACAAATGAAGCTGTCAATTATGATCTAGCTTTATGATTATTATGTTTCCTAATATTGATTCAGAGCTATATGGGAATTTCAAACCATAATAATCAAAACAACCAAAAAAATTGTTTTTTCATTCTCCTCTACTAAAACATAAAAACTAACCTCTGGGCACACAGTCACTCTGCTTAAATAGCAGCCACAGGATACATTTAATAGCTAAACATAAAATCACTAGTCAAATAAAAAGAACAATGTTAAGTTGTCTTAAGTCAAATGTATGTTCCTGTAAAATCATTAAAATAGATAAAACCTTAGATGTTTCTCCTCCAATGAAAAGTCAAGAAATGAGAACTGGCTGATCCAACCTGAATAATGTCAGGGGGACAGAAATGGAAGCCTGCTGTGCATGACCTCCAATGCCTTCAACCACGGCAACCGCAGGAGGGAGACCTCTCTCTGAGACCATGAGGCAATGTCGCTGCCTTCCAGAGTCTGGGTGTTGGCCATGCTCTCTGGACTCTGGTTGGAGGCCCCTTGGTCCTGGACTTCAGCTCCACTTTCCAGGTCCACTGGAATGGCATCTCTTCTCCCTCAGCTTTAGGCAGCCCCATTCTCCTAATCCAAAGTGGTAACCCCACCTCCTTGACCCTGGCATTCCCCATTCTTCTGCCTCTTGGGCATGGCATCCCCACCCCCTCAGCTTTGGGAAGTGGCTCTGGCCTATACCCCTGGCACTTGTGAATGACCACCACACACTATGGAACCAAATTGGTGAAGATCTGACTCTTTAAGCCCTAGGAAGCCATAGCCCCACCCTTTGAGACCCCAGAATTCATGGCCCTACCCTTTGAGACTGAGACAGCTCTGCTTCCCATGTTCTTTGTCTCTTCAGCTTTAGCTTCCTGGTTCCTTGACCCCCTCAGTGCTTCTGCCCCTTGGGTCTCTTGGGCCAGCCTGACGTGTGCCCTGCTTGGTTTTTGTTGTTGTTAGGTGCTGTCGAGTTGGCTACAACTTATAGCAACACTAGTACAACAGAGGAAGCTCTGGTGGCATAGTGCCTAAGGCATTTAACTGCTAACCAGAAGCTGACGGTTCAAACTCACCAGCAACTCCTCAGAAGGAAGGTTGGGCAATCTACTTCTGTAGTGATACCGCCTCGGAAACCCAAGGAGAAGTCACTATGAGTCGGATCTGATTCAACGGCAGTGAGTGAGTACAACTGAACGAAACACTGCCTGGTCCTGCACCAGCCTCACAATCCTTACCATACCTGAGCCTATCATTGCACCCATTGCATTGCAGTATCAACTCATCTCGTTGAGGGCCTTCCCCTCCTTTGTTGACTTTACCAAGCATGATATACTTCTCCTTGAGAAAGGAATGGTCCTTTCTCAAACATGACCAAAATAGGTGAGACAAAATCTGGCCATTCTTGCTTCCAAGGAGCATTCCAGCTGCACTTCTTCCAGGACAGATTCGTTAGTTCTTCTAGCAGTCCATGGTACTTTCAGTATTCTTTGCCAACACCACAACTCAAAAACATCAACTCTTCTTTGGTCTTCCTTATTCGTTGTCCAGCTTTCACATGCATATGAGGTGATTAAAAACACCATGGCTTGGGTTAGGCGCACCTTAGTCTTCTAAGAAACATCTTTGCTCTTCAACACTTTAAACAGGTCATTTGGAGCAGATTTGCCCCGTGCAGTTCACTGCCTGATTTCTTGACTGCCGCTTCCATTGGTGTTGATTGTGGAACCAAGTAATATGAAATCTGTGACAACTTCAGTCTTCTCTCCATTTATCATGATGTTGCTTATTAGTCCATTTGTGAGGATTTTCATTTTCTTTATGTTGAGGTGTAATCCATACTACAGATTGTAGTCTTTAATCTTCATCAGTAAGTGCTTCAAGTTGTCTTCACTTTCAGCAAGCAAGTAGTAAGATCTGTATATCACAGTTTGTTAATGACTCTTCCTCCAATCCTGATGCTATGGTCTTCATATAGTCCAGCTTCTTGGATTATTTGCTCAGCATATAGATTGAATAAGTATGGTGAAAGAATCCAACCCTGACATACTCCCTTCCTGATTATAAACCATACAGTATTCCCTTGTTCTGTTCGAACAGCAACATCCTGGTCTGTGTACAGGTTCCTCATGAATTCAATTAAGTGTTCTGGAATTTCAGTTCTTCTCAATGTTATCCATAATTTGTTATGATCCACACAGTTGAATGCCTTTGCATAGTCAATAAAATACAAGTAAACATCTTTCTGGCATTCTTTGCTTTCACCCAAGATCCATCTGACATCAGCAATGACATCCCTCATTCCATATCCTCTTCGAAATCCAGCTTGCATTTCTGGAAATGCCCTGTCAATACAGTAGTGCAATTGTTTTTAAATTATTTTTAGCAAAATTTTACTTGCTTTGGCAAGTGATTTTAAAAAAACATATCTAAATATATATATTTAAAAAAAAAAACAAAGCTCTTTAGCTCTATCAATAAGTGTCCAGAGACACCCCACTCTGCCAATAAGCCTCAGCCCAAAGGTTCCCAGCTATCTCATTCTGTGGGTTAGAAAGCCTAGTTCCATTGACAAGTGCCCAGAGGCACCCTGCTCCACCAGGAAGCCTGCTGCCCAAAGACATTCAGCTCACTTGCTGCATGGGTTGACTCCTGTGCCATCTTGTACTGATCTCCTGATCCTGATGCCACCATTTCTTTGTGACTGCTTCTCATCATTTGTGCCATGTCTGGTGTTATAGCTCCCCTCACTTTCTTCTGAGCCCTCATTAAAATGGCCTTTGACATCCATAATTCCACCAACATTCCTTTCAAGCCACTCTACCCAACTCTTGATACCAAAGTCTGCCTTAGTTACCTGTTGTTGTTGTTGTTGTTGTTGTTATGTGCCATCAGGTTGGACTCAGCTCATAGTGACCCCTCCTTGGGTTACCAAGGCTGTATCACTACGGAAGTAGATTGGCCAACCTTCTTTCCGAGCAGTGGCTGGGGGGTCTGAACCACCAGCCTTCTGGTTAGCAGTCAAGGGCCTTAGGCACTACACTATCAGAGCTCCTGAGAGCTGCTGTAACGGAAATATCACAGGGGTATGGCTTTAACAAACAGGAATTTATTCTCTCACTGTTTAGGAAGCTAGAAGTACAATTCAGGGTACCAGCTCTAGGGGAAGCCTTTCTCTCTGTGTTGGTTCTAGGAGAAGGTCCTTTTCCCCTTTCAATATCTGTGAGCCTGGCACTCCTAGGTGATCTCCATATGTCTTAGTACCAATTGTCCTCCAGGTCTAGGAAGTTCTCAGTGCAGGGACCCCAGGTTCAAAGGATGTGCTCCACATCCAGCTCTTCTTTCTTGGTAGTAGTCGGGTCCTTTTGATGTCTGCTCACTTGTTTAATCTCTTTTATATCTCAAAAGAGATCGACTCAAGATATAACCCTATAGATTATATACTGCTTCATAGACATAACTGCCTCTAATCTTGCCTCACTGATATAGAAGTTAGGATTTATAACACATAGGATAATTACATCAGATCACAAAGTAGAAGATAATTGCATAATACTGAGAACCATGGTCTAGCCAAGTAGACACATACTTTGGGGAACACAATTCAATCCATAACAATGGTCTTCATGTAAACAAGGACTTGATTGAACCATTGAGAGGTGAGATACTTTTGCTTTCCCCATTGAGTATTCTACACCGAAAGTTTCCATGAAGATTCAACATTAGTGCTTGTGATTTCTATCACAATCACAGTAACATAAAAAATACAGAATTTTAAAGAGTTGGGAAATGATTTTCATTTCAGCCTCAAACCTAGAACAAGAATTCTTCCTGAAAGATCATTCTAGGGCTCCAGCCTCTGGTTCCAGATGGATCTCGGAAAGCACATGGCTTTGCGAGAGAGATCATTCAATTTAAGAACAGATCTAATGTTAGAAATGTTTTCTTTATATTGAGTCAAACCTGGACCCCTGTGTACCTTTCAGTTCTCTCATCCTGGTTGAGACCTTTGGAGCTATTTTTAAATGGCCACTGTGTCTTTTCTAGACCCAAATATCCTAATTTCTAATGTCTCATCTTGACATGGTTTCCACACTCACCTGTCTTAAGCTGGGTTGTTCTCTAGAGAAGGAAAACCAGTGAAATACACACACAGAGAGAGAGAGAGAGAGAAAGAAAGGCAGAGAGAGAGAGATTGATTGATCTCAAGGAAATGGCTTATGAGGTTGTAGAGGCTGACACTTCCCAAGTCCATTGCTCAGACATGAAGCTAGAGGCTCAGAGACTGATGAACCTGAGATCAGCAGGCAATACCACAGGCCACTGGTTCAAGTCCAAAAATGATGATGAGCCAGATGCAGGATCCAGATCAAGCAAAAAGCCAGAGAATTTTCCCAGAACGTCCATATACATTGGAAGCAGGTGGCATCCCTGAGGAAATTCCCTTTCAACTGATTGGCTGCTCACAGCAGATCTCACTATGGAAGTGAATACACTATATCAGACCTCATCTTGGGAGATGACTACATGACAACTGCCAAACCATTGAGAGTCATGGCCCAGCCAAGTTGACACACAACTTTAACGATCACACCTTCATTATCTGGGACACTGGATAGTATAGACATACTGCTGACTGAAAGGTTGGCAGTTCAAGGCCACTCAGAGTCCTCACAGGAGAAATGCCTAGTGATTTACTCC